CTTGATCCTCCCAGAACACTTGCCTACCTCCCCTGGGAGGCTATCATGGTAGTTTCTCATCAACTCCAGAGTTCTGATGAGGTATGGGACTTTCTGCCCTGCCTGCCTCAGACTAGAGCCTCAGTATATAAAAGCACTTAGTTAGCTGCAGTCTAGAACTGACTCCCCAGCAGTGGGATATCCCATAACTTGCCTCGTAGGCCTTTGGCCCCTTTTGTCTTGGTGTTACCCTTTTTTGCATGTGGGGCAAGGATCACTGGAAGCTGGCTCCTTTGGCTTATTCTTCTTTTCACTGTCTATGTAAGTAATAAATTATCCAAATCTAAAAATGCCTGGTCGTATCTTCACCATTGAATCTTGGTCTTGGTCTTAACCTTACTTTGCCTTGTCTTCATATATGTGAGCTTGATGATCTGTAGTGTGGCTCAGTTTCTTATTTCTTCATACTTCTCCTATTTCAGGCACTTGGTATTTTCCTGGCATGGATATTTATCTTTTTCATTTCCACAAATTTGTTGACTCTTTTGCTTTAGCTTTTTTCTTTCTAAATTTGCATACTTATATACCTGTTAAAGAAAAATTAGAAAGTAATGCAGATAGCAACAAAAACTATAAGAGAAAAAGGAATAAATCTAAGAAAAAAATGTGTGATACTGCTATGGGGAAATTGTAAAAAATATTAAGACCTAAATAAATGGAGCAATAAATCAAATTTTGCAAATTAATCTATAAATTCAGTGTAACTTGAATTAAAATCCTTTGTGAAGTCAGACTAAATAACTTTTACTTAAATGGAATAATAAAGGACCACATTTTTATGCCCTTCATAAGTCTTTTGTAGACACTTCTTTCTTAGAGCCCAAACTGTGGATAAAAGACATAGGATATGAGAATAATTTGGCATGTAAATGCAGAGAGTGAGTGGTTACCAAGGTGGCTAGCGTTTATACCTTAGATAAATTTAAATTTAAGGCATTTTACCATACAGCATATATCCACATAACTTGTACACCTTATAAATTTTTTTTAATCCTATATACTTTTTTTAGAAATTTATACAAGTTTTCTAAAAAGGAAAAATTTTTTAATGTTTTGAAATCCAGGTGATAAGAACATTGGCTTTTTATTAAAGGGTCTTTATAGGAATTTTACTAAAACTTTAAAGTACCTGTTTAGCTTTTGTGGCCTTTAAAGTCCTAAAATCATTTTGTGATTTGGGAACTAAAAGGTATTCCTTATAATTTGATTTTCCTATTAAGTTAACAGGTTTGGTTTATTTTAAATGAAATTTTCCTGCTAGACAGTAACAGCAATTCTACCCATTTACCTTTTAAACACTCCTGTGTTTGTGTGTTGAGAAATATAATTGCTAAACTTTAAGGAACCTTATATTTTTTCCAGTGTTTCAAGCTAAAACTTGAAGATAGGTAGTGTCATATTACAGTAAACAAAGATTATATTTTGTTTTGGATGTAATGCTTCCTGTGTCAAACAGATATAAAAAGTGCTCAGATTCAGAGCCATGCTATCACTTAAATCATCCAAAACATTATTTTTAATGAACACAGGGGAAAAAAGAAAATCTAAATGCTGTATATACTGCTTTGGCCACAGGAAACTTTTAACAAATTCAGCATTTGAATTCTGTCTAGAAATTTGTTTCTCTAATGCTTAATTTCTGTCACATTTGATTGAGATGGACATCGCTGTCATCCTTCACATAGCTCATTCTTCATTTAGCAGCATTTCTTGAGCATCTCACGTGGCAGACATTTCTTCTAGGTTATGTGAATAGATCAGTGATCAAATGGATGTTATCCCTCATCTCATAGATTTTATATTCAATAAAGGAGAGACAGATAATAGACAATAAAATGTAGGCAAAAGGAACCTTTTTTACCACTGAGGAAAAGAAAACTTATGGAAGCTAAGACTTCAATGCCGGTAGGGACCAGCTATGTAAAGATCACAACAAAGAGCATCTTAGGTGTGGGAAAGGCTAGTGCAAAGATGTATCATGGGGATGAGAGAGTGGCGCAGAATGAACCTGGAGAGAAAATAAGGGGTGCGATCGCACTGATACATTTTTTTATTTTGATGGGATTGTTTCCACGTATATTTGGATGGGTGGCTGCTGAAGATACAGAAGAGTTAGGAGTTCTCTGCAGCATCCTTTTCCTAGATGTCTCCTTGCAAATGGAAATGCCTGGCAGAGCACAGATCTGCTGTTCTAGGATCCTGCCCTGATAATTTGCTGTAGCCCTATTTCCTGCACAAAGTCTGAGGGTGCTCCTGTTTGGAACTATAATCACATTTCTCAGCATAGCAAATAAGCCAACCTCAAAACTTTTTCCTTTGAAGAAATCGGAGCTGTTTCTAAGTGCTTGATTTTTGCACTTTCTTTCTAGACTTACTACATTCTGTGGTAATATTATTAAATCCTTGAAGACTTTTGTCTTTCTTCTCCCTCAGAGTATGAGCTCCATGAGGGCAGAAACCCACCCAACCTTTCTGTTCCCAGCAGCTTGTATAGTACCGAGCATATACTAGATGCTCAATGAATATTTAAATGAGGGGAGAAAATAAGCCCATCCATATATATGTAGGGGTATGCATGGATTTTTTTGTAATTATTGATATTATCTGGTTCTTTTCATATAGAATGTCTGAGATATCTTCTCTTTGGGCCTTTTCCATAGGTGGCTTTTGTTGGCATTTGAGTCTCAGTTGAGATGACCCATTTTCATAAAGATATTCTCTGAACACTGATTAAAGAATTTACGTCTACCAAACCCAGAAGCCTTTGTCCTAGTTACTTAGAGAAAATCATGGTAACTTATTTCTATAGTAGTTACCACAGTCTGAAATAATCTTATTTATTCCATGAGTGTAAGTTGCAGCTACTCTGCCTATGTCCCTTCAGTTTCTATCCTAGGTCCCTAGCATGGTGCAGGTGCTTCATAAGTGTTCAGTAAGTATTCATTGAGTAAATAAATTTAAGAGTTTCAGGGCCTTATTTGGTCAAATCCAAATTCTTTTGTCAAATAACCAGTGCAGTGTTTTCTAGTAAACTGTCACAAGTAGCAAAAATTTTTTTTTTTTTTTTCAGAGAAAGTTAAACATTAATCTTGAACTTGATTGGCACTTGCCAGGAATGGCAGCAATCAGCATTTAAAAATCTTTAGAGGGATTCTCTTTTCTGTTTGTTAATCTCTGCAGGAATAAATGGATGCTAGATGAATATACCTCCTTAGATTGGAGGGTGGGGACAAAAGCACAATTGTTTAAGTTGGGAGTTAACCAGGGATAAAATGTTAACAGTAATCTGGTGATGAGACTAGGGTTAATTTTAATTTTCCTCTTAATGCACAAACTGCCAAAGTCTTTGCAACCTATATGTATTAACTATATTTTCTAATTATAAAAGTATTGTAAAAAGAAAAGCTCCTAAAAATATTAAGGAACATTTAGACATAACACTTTTAAAACTGAAACTGAGCCTGTGAATAATTTAACTAAAAATCATGCATGTTTTAACTGAGACACCAATTGGAGAATTTCTTTATCCAGTACACAGAGTTAATTGGGGGCACAGCTAGCAGTGAACTCATGCAAAAGTTCTTTTCATTATCATGTAGTTGGTAGGCCCTATTCCAAAGGTAGTGAATCAGCTGAGGGAGAGCCCCCGTTGCTGTCTTGTCTTTTTGTAAAGAGATGAGATCTCATTATGTTGTTCAGGCTGAACTCAAGCTCCTAGGCTCAAGCGATTCTCTGGGCTTGAGCTGTCTTCCTGCCTCAGGCTCCCAAGTTACTGGGCACACATGCTTGTACCACCACCTCCGTGAAGCTTTCTTTTTAAACAAGCTCTCCAGGTGGCTCAGATGTATACCAGCACTCTAGCATTGCATGCATTGCATCAGAAGGCACTGCCATTCAGACAGTGAGCCAAGCCAACTTTCAAATACACTCATGTTGACTAAATCCACCCTTTTATCATGAAAATGGCAATTGTTTTCAGGTTAAGGTTAGTCCTCTTGCATTTGAAAGTTGTACTGAATTGTTATCTAGAGTATATGATTAACAATGATGTGCCACAGCACTTTTACCTAAAAATCTTAAAATATTTTTGATGAGGAAATGCTAAAATATTTTTGATGAGGATAACACTAAGCCAACACTTTAATATAAACTGTCTCATTTGCATGCCATAGTAAGTGTCATTCAGCAGGAAAAAAGAAATGTTCTCTTTGATTTTTTTATGTCTCTATTACCGTAATAAGTTCTAAGTTATTCTCATAATTAATCAGAGCTAATAATCATTTCATACTCTGAGATGTCCTACTTGGCCCACCTTTTCCAAGAGTGATTAGTAGTGAAAAGCTAACATTTATCATGTAGGGCACTGGGTTGAGTGTTGTACATGTATTGATTTGTTTAATCTTCACAGGAAGCTTATGAAATAGCTGTTTTTCAAATTTTTCTTTTGTCTACAACCTTTGCTAATGCACTTTGCATCATTATCTAGTAACATCTTTATATATAACAAGGAGAAGTTTTGTGGATTAATATTAGCAGTGCAATATTCTCTATTTTCTTTTTAAATGTTGGTTTTGATCCACTAAACAATGCAGAATCCACAAGCAGATAGCAGCTTTCATGAAAAATACTGAGGTATGGTATTTTATTGTCCCCGTTTTACAGATGAGAAAGCTGACAGGTTAAATAAACTGCTGTCCAAGTGTCACAGCTACTAGACACAGAAGCAAAATTTGAACCAGGAGCCTGGACTTTTACTCAGTTTGCTAACGTGAATTATGCAATACAGATAATTTTCAGAATAAATTGGACCTCAGGGTCATCACTATCTTGTATTGTAGGGGCAGAAATACACCCCTTTTATCACCCCTCATAAGGGTCATAGCTGACACGCCTGTAACAAAATCTAGGTTAACAAGAGAAAAGCATAACAAATTTATTTAATCAAAATTTTACATGAAAAGGAGGCAGAGCAAGATGGCTGAAGGAAGCCTCCACTGATTGTCCTCCCTGCAGGAACACCAGATCTGAAAACTATCCACACACAAAAAAGCACCTTCATAAGAAGCAAAAATCAGGTGAGCAACCACAGTACCCAGTTTTAACTTCATAGAAGGTAGGAGGGAAAGAGAGACAGTCTTAAATTGCCAACGCCACTCCTCCCCTATCCCCTGGCCGTATGGTGCAGAAAGGGAATCTGTGTGCTTAGGGGAGAAACTTTGCATTGGAATGCAGTGCTGCCAACATCAGGCAGAGATCAGCTGGTGCCCACAGAGTACTTACTCCAGCCCTAGCCCGAAGGAGATGACCATCCCAGCAATTGGAACTTGAGTTAGGAAAGCCTTGCCACCATGGGCTAAAGTGCTCGGGGGCCCTAAATAAATAAACGTGAAAGGCCATCTAGGCCACAAGGACTGCGACTTCTAGGCCAGTCCTGATGCCGTGCTGGGCTCAGAGCCAGTAGAATTGGGGTATACACGGCCTAGTGATAGATCAGCCAGGACAGCTAAGGGAGTGCTTGTGCCACCAATCTCCCAACCCCAGACAGTATAGCTCCTAGCTGCAGGAGGGACTCCTTTCTTCCACTTGATAAGAGGAGAGGGAAAAGTAAAGAGGACGTTGTCTTGCAAACTGGATACCAGCTCAGACCCAGTAGGATAGAGCCCTGGGCAAGGTCTTGACGTCCCCATTCTAGGCCCTAGACCCCAGACAGCATTTTCAGACACAGCCTGGGCTACAAGGGAACCCGCTGCCTTGAAGGAAAGGACCCAGTCCTGGCAGTATTCATCACCTGCTGACTTTTAAGGCCCTGGGTGAGACTCTGAGACATGATGTGACCTAGCGCATTCACACCTGTGGTGACTAAGAGGAAAGGCCCTTATGCTTGAGAAAAGCAGAGGAAAGAATGAAGAGGACTCTTGTCTTGCACCAGGGTACCAGCTTGTCCACAATGGGGTAGAGCACCAAGAAGGCTCTTGGGGTCCTCAGTTCCAGGTGTTGGCTCTTGGACAGCATCTGTGGACCTGCCCTGGGCCAGAGGGGAGCCTGCTGCCCTAAGGGTGAGTCCCAGGCCTGACCTCATTCACCATAAGCTGACTGAGGAGCCCTTGGGTGTTAAGTGAACATGAGCTATGGGCTGGCAGTACCCCCTGTGGGCCTGTGGCGGTGGTGGACAAGGGGAGAGACCCCTCTGCCTGGAGAAAGCGGAGGGAAGAGTTGGAATAACTTTATTTGTGGCTTGGGAGCCAACTCAGCTGCAGCAGAACAGAACACCAGGTAGATTCCCAAGGTTTGCAACTCCAGGCCTTGGCTCCAAGACAGCATCTCAGGACCCAGCAGGGGGAACATTAAGGGAAGAATACAGGCCTGACTGGCTTCACCACCTGCTGATTTTAGAGCCCTATGTCTTGAGCAAACACAGGGGGTAACCAGGTAGGAGTTGCAGCAGGGCTTGGGTAACATCCAGTGTTGTGCTGGCTTCAAGTCTGACCCAGTGCAGTCTCAATGGTGGTGGTCACAAGGATGTTTATGTCACCTCTCCTCCAGCTCTAGGCAGCTCAGCAGAGAGAGAGAAAGAGAAACTCCGCTTGGGAGAAAGTAAGGGAAGAGAACAAGAGTCTTTGACTGATAATCCAGAGAATTCTTCTAGATTTTACCTAAGATCAGCCAAAGGAAGCACAGTGTCAGTTGGCTTGGGGTGTCCTCTAATGCAGATACAGCTGCAGTGACCAAAAACTTAGATCACAGTACCCAAGTCCCTTCAAATACTTGGAAAGCCTGCCCAAGAAGAGGGTACAGACAATCCCAGCTTGTGAATATGACAGTAAATAACCTTACTCTTCAATGGCCAAACACTGACTGACATCCACAAGCATAAAGACCATCCAGGATCACATTACCTTACCAAATGGACTAAATAAGGCACCAGGGGCCGGTCCTGGAGAGGCAGAGATATGTGACCTTTCAGACAGAGAATTCAAAATAGCTGTGTTGAGGAAACAAAATTCAAGAGAACACAGAGAAGGAATTCAGAATCCTTATTTAATGAAGAAATAAAATAATTTGAAAGAATCAAGCAGAAATTCTGGAGTTGAAAATTGCAATTGCCATATTGAAAAATGCGTCAAAATTTTATATGGCATGGGAGTCTTCAGAGATACCCAAAGACTCAAGGGAAAACTGTCCATTTTTATGCTTAGATTTGATAAAGAGTGCATAGCCAGGTAGAACTGTGATTGGACAAAAAGGGGATGATCTTATAGTAACAGACTGAAGGGGAAAACCCATCCAGCAAGGGCCCATCCCAATTCTTTGTGATCTCTCTGTGTGGCATTTCTTCCTGCCAGGTATAGGACTGGACCTCTTCTGGAATTGGGGGTCTTATTACTTTCAGATAAAGTAGGTCTAAGAATTCCTTTGTAGCCAGCTCTTACACAGAAAGGCAAGGGAATGTTAGAGTAATAGTTCTAGGTTTCATGGCTGACTGGGGAAAAGGGGATCTAGTTTCTATGGCTTGCCTTGATGAAGAGGAATTTTAGTTTCTGTGGTTTGCCTTGCAGGGAGGATGGGGAGGAGAAGAAAGGAGGGCAGGAGAAGGTCTGAGACAGGGTTGACTTCTGAGGCCTTCCAGTGCCCTTTGGTTCAAAGTGCTCCTTATTTTGGGATATTGTTTTCTGAGCCCCAATACTGTGACAGGAGAAAAGTACCAACAAGTACCACTGGTCAACCTTGTCCTCTACCCGCCTGGAAGAAGTTGATTTGCTCAATATAAGGCAAGGAGAGAGGCAGGATCCTAGAGATATGGAAGGGGGCTTCTGGATTCTACAGGGGACTTTGGGAACTCTAGGGGGCAGGGCAGAAATATCTAATTGGGATGTTTTATTAGGTAATTTTGCATGACTCTGAGGAAAAGCTCTCTTCTAACTCCCTTCAAAATTCTCAGTAAAATTACCTCTTTACTGATACTTGAAATATGAATTTGGTTTGGGGGATTTAAGTCTGGTCTCAAGAAGGCAACCAGGTTAACTTATTGGGGCTAGCCACATGTGGGTAACAGTTCAGTTCAACAAAGTTCCATACATTCAGGAAGTAATTGCTAATTGCCTACGTGATAAGGCGCTGTTATGGGTACAATGGATGCAAAGATGATTAAGACCTACCAAACAAATTTTCTGTACATATCAGCTAGATAAAAGGAAAAGCATCTGATAGACCTTTGCTTTGGAAAGAAACTTGAGTCATCATGCTTGCTGATACTATCATAGACTTGTCCACCACTGTACCCCAGTTGCCTAGCACACCTGGCATTTCTTATTAATTGATAGCGAAGTAACTCCCAGAGCTCAGGTCAAGGAGTCAGGTTATTTACATTTGGCTACCAAAGTATAAATAAAAATATAATAGTTCATGTGGAGACACTGCTTTATCAGGTTATTTACATTTGGTTATAAAAGTATAAATAAAAATGTAATAGTTCATGTGGAGACACTGCTTTTTCAAGTGATATCCATGAGCATAGTATGCTGTGTTTACCAAAATCAATTTCCTTTGCCCTGTGATTTGCTTCAGAAAATGTTGACTGGCCATCTATAGCACCCTATTTTCTTTTCCACTGGACTGAGTGACATTTCAATGTCTGATTCCTTAGCTGTAGGGAAGTAAAGCAGAACAAGTCTGTTTTCTTCCATTCTTTCAAATCAGTAGATGTTCATCAAGCAGCTTGACTTGAAAGGAATACTTTGGCTACCTGAGAGGGACTAGTTCTTCCTCCCTGCCTGTTAGAAAAGTCTGGGCTGGCACTGTCAGCTCATACTTCCCAAGACACAACTGTAGGCATCTAATATGTAGCAGGAGGAGGCAGAGAAAGGCTCAGAGGCAAATAAGTAATCCAAGCAGAAAGCATATTGAAGAGTAGAGGTTTCTTTTTCACAGACAAGAGTAGCAGTAGGGGCTGGAAGGAAGGAGGATATGTATTGTATATATGGAGATGGAGGTTGGGAGACAGGATACTCTGTGGGGGAAAAAACTTAGTTGCCTAAACTTTACCTCAAAGTATAGAGTGAAGGAGTTCTTAGGAGGAAAGATGTGTAAGTAAGCATTGTGTATGGCATTAGTTACCAGGTGGCAATATGGTTATATGGTGTGGTAGAAATTTTGGTAGAAATCAGCAATCTACATTCTGAGTAATGATTATTTTGCATTTGTAATATGGGGCTGCTAATTTGTGTACTTGTATCCGTGACTCTTATTTCCTTTAATTTGTTTTCCTTTTTAAAGGATGTTTCCTTTGCTATTCAGAAATCTTAGGAAGAGAGAAATTGTAGTCTCCCCCTGCTGGATATGACTGGTAGAACCTGAATTTTAGGTTACTTGGCATAGATTTTTTTTTCCAATTTTTGGATTGTATTAAAATCCACATAACATAAAATTTACCATCTTAACCATTTATTAGGTTGATGCAAAGGTAATTGCAGTTTTTGTCATTTTTTAATGGCAAAGTATACAGTTCAGTGATATGAAATACATAATAAATGTGCAGTTCCGTGATATTAAATACATTGATGATGTTGTGCATTATGTAGCTACATAAGGACTAATTTTCCTCGACTTTCCAATTCTAAATTCTTCCTACAGCCTCACTAAGCAGTCTTTTGATCACACCTTTCCCATCTCCAAGCTCCTCTACATCTTCTTCCAGCAGTTACCAGCGCCGCTGGCTTCGAAGTCAGACAACAAGTTTGGAAAATGGCATCATTCCAAGGAGGTGAGTTGCAAGTTTCCTCTTGCCGAGAAAAGTACTAGTGTAGGCAGCTTGATGAAACTGGCAGGGCAACTGTTCGCGCCTATTGTCAGAGGAAAAAGAACCAAACTTTTTTATTAGCTTCAGCTTAGCCTGCAAGTTTACAAATTAGAAGTTCGAAGGAAAGAATAAATAAAAGCTAAAGTTTAAAAATCTCCTCCTTTTGAAGACACTAGGAAGTTTCTGAGTAGTTGTTTCATGAGCTAGATTGGGGGTTCATTTAAAATGGTGTGCTCTCTTTAAATAGGGTCCCTTCCAGATGTAGCTTTTATAAGTAATGAGGGAGATGAGTCTCTTTTTGGCCACCGTGATACCAATGTGGTATTCAAAAATATATGAAGTCAAGGGTCTGTGATATATTCTTTGTGAAATGTAAATTCTTAAACTAAACAGGTATGAAAAGATTATAAATAGAGATGGCATCTAGGTATTTTCTGCTTTCATTTCAGTTGGTTTTTGGATTTAAAGTTCAGTTGTGTGCAAAAATGTACATTTGATGTTACATTCATAGCTTCCAACTTTTTCTTCCTACAGTCCAAATACTTGAAGGGAAATTTTTTTTGTGTACCTATAAAAATTCACGTCAATTGGCCGGGCGCAGTGGCTCGCACCTGTAATCCCAGCACTTTGGGAGGCCAGGGTGGGTGGATCACGAGGTCAAGAGATCAAGACCATCCTGGTCAACATGGTGAAACCCCATCTCTACTAAAAATACAAAAAATTAGCTGGGCATGGTGGTGCATGCCTGTAATCCCAGCTACTCAAGAGGCTGAGGCAGGAGAATTGCCTGAACCCAGGAGGTGGAGGTTGCGGTGAGCCGAGATCGCACCATTGCACTCCAGGCTGGGTAACAAGAGCAAAACTCCGTCTCAAAAAAATAAAAAAATTCACATAAATTAACTGATTTAGTAAATTGACTATGCCTCACCATATGCAGGGATCTGTGAAGGTGTAAGACATTTCAGCTTTGTGCCTGTACTTAGTTTATGAGATGGTACACAAATAATGGCATAAAGATGTTATGTGATAAATATCATAGGCAGATATAAAGTGCTATGAGACTCAGGATGGAGGAAACACAGTGATGGTCATGGGGGGAAATAGGGAGCCCTTCTTAGAAGAGACGGCACTGAAGGGACAAGCTGAGAAACTGAGGGGTTGGGGGTGTGAGTAGCACACATCAGGTTGCTTGCCTCACTTCTGTCTCTTTCACAATCCTAGAAGCTAGCTGGAAAGAAAAAATTATAGCTTCATCACCCATCAAGAAGCTGCTTTTTGGTTGGTGGACTTGGGATTAAATGATTAAAAGCTTGGAATTTTGTGTGAACACAAGTCCTAGCTCTGTCACTCACTAGATGTATGATAGAGTAAGTTAACCTGGATTCTAGGCGTTGCATCCTCATCTGCAATGTGATAAGACTAGCACAGCCTCAGAATGTTGCTGGGAGGGTTAAATGAGATAACGCAAGTTCAGTGTTTAGCCAAGACATAGGATATGGGCAATAAAATATGGCCACTGTGAATTATTTAGTATTATTATTGCTATCATTATCATTATCATTACTGCAACTGTCAGGAGAAGGCGCCACCACCATCCTCACTGGCATTATACCAGCTTCTGTGATTGGAAGAGATAAGTTTTGGAAACCATCCTTGTTCAACATCTTCTCTTTTCTGAAAAGGCTTTTTTATCCCTTCAGATTTAAATTCAAAGTTGAAATCATGTTTCACAACTCCTTCGAAATTCTTCAAAACTAATTTGAATTGAGATCTGGCATTGGGAACTAGTGAATCTCTAGTGAACTTACACCTAAAATAAGTATCCTACATTCAGAAAGGTTGTGAATACAGTCAAGGCTGGCTACCTAATTTATGGGACCAGTGCAAAATAAAAATGTGGTGCTTCTTACTCAAAAAACAAGAAAAGTGTTATTAAAGGGACTAAAAACGAAAAAAGTTTTTCTTTAAGAATATATATAAGATGTAATAGAGATGACAATGATAGATGAATAATATAAACTTATAAATTCTAAACATAATATTTTTGGTGTCATAATTTTATATTATAATATGTGATATCTTGTGTCATAAGACTTTTCTGCAAATACATTTGTTTGGTCATCAAAGTTTATAGTTTTAGCAACTTGGCTTTCAATTGATATAATTGAAAGTGATAGTCCTGACAAATGCAAGGTGGCAAATAATTTTTGATAATTTTTTACTTGGAGAAGGATCTTTCTGCTGATGCGGTGTTACATAGCTTTATGGACTATGACAACATTTGGATACATTTTTTATTAACTTTCAAGATGTAAATTTGAGTACATCTGGATCAGATGATTCTTGTTAAACAGTTTTTTAAAAGATTTAATTCTTCACACAAATCCATTTTGAGTAAGTCTGAATTTAATTTTAGATGTAAATTTATACAAGGTTATTTTAATAATTCTTCTGACATTTCCTGTAACTTGTGGAGATCTTACAGGAAACTAAAAATGTTCTCATGAGTTATATATAATTCAAAATGCCTATTTATGCATTCTATCACTGTGTCCTCAATTACGAAGAAAAATTAATTTTAAAATGGCCTTCCTCTTTAATAATTTGTTCATCTGAAGATTTATATGAAAACAGTGTGGGTTTTTTTGTCCAGTATAACAATCTTTACATTCAATTTCTATTTCTATGCCTATGAATATTTCCTTTGCATTGTTGCAGCAGTTTTCAAAAACAGTCTAAACTGTTTGCAGAATTAGAATAATTCCCTGATATTCTTTATTGCAATGTCCCCATTTAGGCTTTGACTTTGTGATAATTTACTGCCCTGGGGTTCAGGTCAGAGAGTTAAATATCTGTGCAGATTGTATAGGGACTGGCTCTGGTGACTAATGGGCAAGCTGGCCTCCCACCGTGGTTCCTGGAGCTACCAGAATCCTTCCTCTCTCCTCTTCCCTATCTCCCACAACTATGGCTACTGCAGCTTCTGCTGTCACCACAGTCACAGCCGTCAGTGTGGGTCCAAGACCCAGCCATTCTACTTTAGAGTCTTGTAACACCGTGGCCTGCCTCTGACCTGTGGGTACGTGCGTAGTGCTGGGCCAGTTTCTCACTGTCTGGGCTGCAAGCCCTTGGTTCTTGGATCACCCATATACGAACTGCTGCCCAGTGTCTTCACTACTCATGTGCAGGTATAGGGGCAGAAAGGGTGTGGTAACGTTCCCTCCGTATCATAAGGGTCATGGCTAACACTCCTATAACAAATACAGGTTAACAAGAGAGAAACATAATTTTATTTAGTCAAAGTTTCACATGACAGGGAGCCTTCAGAAATGAAGATTGAGGAACCCAAAGAAAACTATGTTTTTATGCTTACATTCAACAAAGAATGGATTGCCATGTAGAAATGTGATTGGACAAAGGAGTATGATCTAATGGTAATAAATTTAAGCAGGAAAACCCAGTGGGGCCTGTCTTGTCAGAATTCTTTTTGACCTCTCTGTAGAGCATTCCTTCCTCCCACGTAGAGGGTAAGACCTCTCTGGAATGGCAGGGTCTTATGATCTATTTTCAGACAAGGTAGGTCAGAGAAATTATTTGTGGCCAGCACTTACAAAGGTACGAGGAAGTTAGAATAGTATTTCTGTAATAGGTTTTACAGTTGGCTTTGGGGAAAAAAGAGGCTCAGGTTTTTGTGACTTACCTTGGGGAACAGGAATCTTAGTTTCTATGCCTTTGGGGAGAAAGGGGAGCAGGAGAAGGAAGGGCAGGAGAAAATCAGAAAAGCAAGGTCTTGTTTCTGAGCCCCTGTCCTTCAGTTCAAAATACTCACCAGACCAAAGTGCCATACTTTGGGGTATCCTTTTCTGAGCTTCATTGTCTCATTAGACTTGATTTATAGCACAAAAGTTCAAAGATAAAATTATTTAAAATTCAAGATGGTAATCACAGAACATGAAATGAAGCCTGGGGCACTAGTGAGTGCAGGACCCTGTGTGAGTGGGGTCGAATGCTCACACAGCCAGCCCTAATAGAGTACTGCTGAACACCGAGAACGCTCGAGTAGCAGACGTTTTAAACTGATCACTGTGCCTGTAAAGGTCCCTTCATTTAAAGGATGTTGTAGTTGATCTCTCCCTTTTGGCAGGTATGCAGGTGGGAAAATTAGATTTTTTATGCTATAGGCAGGAGAACAGGGGGTACCAATTATGATTGCTTCTCTTTGACAGACAATTCATGGTAATTAAAAATGTCCTTCCTAACAGAGTTAAAGGTAGCAGGGATGATAGTCACAGTTTTCTTTTTTTTTTTTTTTTTTTTTTTTTTGTTAGAATTGGGCAACACTTTATTCCATAAACTAGAATGAATGTTTTCAATATTCACAAATCTTAACAGTTGGCTTCACACTGACCTCAGGGCTCCCTGCTGTGCCAGGTGGTAAGCTTTAATTACTGGATGGGGAATGGGGCTCAGGGATTCCATCACTTACCGAGGCAATTGATACCTTAAAGAGCAAAATATAATGTCCCAGGAAGCCTTTTGATTTGAATTATTAAATTGGACCAACCTTATACAGTTGCTGATGGGATGTTCTTTGACCTACAATTTCATATGGCCCAATGTAATACATAGATTCAGCATAAGTTCAAAGCTGAAACAGATAATTAGACCAAGGAATCCTGATATCAATGATAGATTATTGAGACGTACTTAGTCATTTTTGCTTTAATTATTTATGATCTTGAGGTACTTACAATGTACATAACTGCTTATTCATAAGTGTTAACACACTTCTATTTGATTTCTTTATAAGGAAAAAAATTGTGTGTAGCTGCAGTCTTTCCTTGACTCTCAGGACTGTCAGCTGATCAGACTGCTTCCAGCCCCTTCCCTCAGTGCTCTGCCTGGTATGATGCATTGGCTAGCATGAGCACCAGCAGACAGATTGGGCATAGGGTGGGAGTCCTTGGTCATTGCCAGTATCCAAGTAATGAGCCCAAACTAGAAGATAGGAATCCTGGGTTCTAACTCCAGCATTGTTACTAAGAACCTTTCTGTTCCTGAAAAAAGTTGAGTCAGCACTCTGCCTCAGTTTCCACATTTGCAGAACAGCCTGTGTACCTTCTCTGGTGACATGGAGATAAAGATATGATGAAGTACTGGGGCCCATACTTAAATTTTTGGAAATATTCTTAAACATCTTTTTTTGTAGAATAATTTTTAAATTATAAGTAAGATACTACATAACCTGATTTATTCCATGTTGCATGGTTGATCTAAGACTACAGAATGAAACTCAGTTGATTCAGAATTCAGTGGAGAGTTATAGTAAAGCAAGTAAATTATCCACTAGCTATGGAAGTTTTTCAGAAATTCAGCAGGTGGCACTCTCTGCTACATTAAAACTGATGAGAGCATTGGCTATTGTTTATAGGGTGGAGATGATGATGATGAGAAACTGTATCGGGTTCAGTGTTTATTACAATTTGATTATTAAAGATCAAGCTGGCCTAAAGATGAGTGGACTGATAGAGTCATTTTACTTTGGAAAAAGAAGGGAAATATAAGATGACAGAAAATAGTAAAGGTTTGCAAGCAAGCCTTACTGTAATATAAACTCAGGAGAATTCCCCAAACAGAACAGAAATCAACTACTGTAGTGCAAGGAAACAAGGCTTTAGTGTCAGTACTTTGGTAAAAAAAAAGAAAGAGGATTGTATGAAACTGTGTGAAGTTATTAGGAAGCCTCAAGAATTTTCTCTGATAATTATAATCTAGGGATTTCCCAGAGAAAGCAGGTAATGGTTTATTATAATGTGTAGCAGTTATAACAGCACCTTGTGCCTTTAGTGACACATCTGGAGTGAAAACCTTTTACTGATTTACCAACCATACCTACATCTCCAGGCTCTCACTTGAAGTTAAGGGAACTAGTAACATATAACTGAGGTTAGAATAAGATGTCTATCTCCTTTCCTTTAAAAATAAAACAGCCAGGCACAGTTTTATTTTTAAAGGAAAGGATTACACATGCCTGTAATCCCAGCACTTTGGGAAGCTGAGGTGGAAGAATCACTTGAGCTCAGGAGTTCAAGACCAGCTTGGGCAACATAGGGAGACTCCATCTCTACCAAAAAACAAAAGTAGCCAGGCATGGTGGTGTGCCTGTGTCCCCCCAGAATTAATTATATTAATTAAATAGCTTTCCTGAGCACAACACTTTTGGTGTATGTTTGTTTAATAATAAAATCTGGGTTTATTTGAAATCACATGAGCATTAAAGACTATGAGTAAAGGCCTAAGTAAGTAAGTTGAAGACCAGGGGCAGAAGGCTATAATCTCATAATCTGCCCAGGATGAGTAATTGTTATGTTGTAATTTGTAATAAAGAAAATGGAGGAAGCAGTACCTTCCCATACTGGCAGAGATATGAGACTAGATGATGGAGTTCGTGAGAAAGATAAAATGGATTGCATACCTGCTATGTTCTAGTCTAGGGCTTTCATTTGCACTGTTTTGTCCTTTGTGTTGGTGTTTTTGTAGGAAAAAAAAACCTATTTTATTTGTATTTTTGCTGTTAGTAGTTATGTGGTAGCTATGCTGGCTTTTCACAATAGTTAAGTAAGCGACATGGTTAGGCCATTTTTGTAAGGCTTACCCCTTAAGACAAATTAAATATATATTTACAAGTTTTGGACTTAATGGCTATCATCATAGAAGCCAACTCTCCCAAAAGAATCCGATTTTTTTTTTTTTAATTCTGCTGTAGCAGAAGAGAGGTAAGTCTTTCTGCTTGGAGGATTTTCAGAGAGCTTAATCACATGGCTTAATCTGAGCACTTAGAAGAGTCACTTCCATCTAGTGGTTTTGATAGCCCTGGGGGGAAAAAAAAGACAGAAGGATCCTGGTTCCTCTTTGGTTATCTTATCTATTGGTATCTATCAGCCAAAGCTGTGTTTACCCAAAACACAGGTATCTGTTTACCTGTGTTTTGGGTAAACAGATACTTCACACTCCTTCCTAAATACCATCAATTTGACATAAAATGATCCAAAGGAAAAGGACAAGAGTAACAATGGGAAATTTAAATTACTTGTAGTTTTCATTTGAGTTTCTTTCCATGTTAGGATAATACTGTGTGGCAAGCAAGCTGACATTCTCATCTTCATGCCGGGGAATTATAGAAGAGAATGAACTAAAGGCAGATATACTCTTAGTTACGACTGAATGTTCTGGGTGTCATCCCAGGCATTACAGTTGATCTTCAGTGTGACTCACTGATGCATGGCAACTTTGCAAACTTCTGTTTCCCTCCAGGTCAACTGATGAGACATTCAGCTTGGCTGAGGAAACCTGTAGTTCTAATCCAGCTATGGTTAGGAGGAAGAAAATTGCCATAAGTATCATCTTTTCCCTTTGTGAGAAAGAAGAAGCACAAAGGAATTTCCAGGACTTCTTCTTTTCTCATTTTCCCCTGTTTGAGTCTCACATGAACAGGCTGAAGAGTGCAATTGAAAAGGTAATAAGGATGTAATCCAAAGTCAAATAGAGAAGTGATTGTGGGGCTTTGAAGATGGCAGAATTTCTTTGCTTATGTATCGGATCTTTCCTAAGAGAGTTTAGTCACCCATAGCAGTGATAAATTCTTAGGCACGTTAATGTTAGCTACCAGATACTGGGTTGCCTTAGGGAAGGAAATGACTGCTTTGCGTTATTATCTTGAGTGTTTTTAATTGATTGCATAATTTTTTTAATTAATAAAGCCCAGTAGATAAGTTATAAAATTTCTTCTCGGTAATTTGGCTTGCTTTCTCTTCAATAAAGGCTATGATCTCCTGTAGGAAAATAGCAGAATCAAGCCTCCGAGTCCAGTTTTATGTCAGCCGATTGATGGAAGCTCTGGGAGAATTCAGGTAAAGTGACAAAGTTTGGCAAATCCAGCAGGAGATATTTGTGAGCAGCCATGGGTAAAGAGAAACTGTGACTTGGAAGAATTGGGGGCCTGGCAGGTATTCCTCACTTTTGTGGTTCTGCCCTTCAAGATGGAAACAGAACAAATGAAGCAAAAAATTGAAGTAATTTACCACTGAGTAATCCTCACTACTGCTCAACCGACAGTCCCTGATAGGATTGTTTTTAACAGGATGAAGGGGGAAAACTAATATTCAGGTATATCTCACCAGTCTATTCATTATCTAATGTCAGCCTCATAAAAAGCCTAAGCACTACTAAACCCATTTTACAGATGTGGAAACTTGAGTTCAGGGATGCTTATTCAAAGCACAGATGGAGAGCTTATGCAAGTCAGGGAGACCTATGTTCCAGTTTGCCAGGTCAGTCCTAGTTTATACCCAGTGTCCTCTGGAAACTGGTATCTAGAGACCTTGCTCCTAGTATCTGCATGGAAAGGTAAACAGTGGTGGGATCCTCTCTCATCATGCTGAGTTGGGACTGTTGCACCATTTTGTAGACCAGTTTCTTGATGGGGAATGGAATCCCACTCCAAAGCAGTCATGAGCTAATGAGTCAAACCGTTACTCCATAGCTGAAGGATAAAAAAATGTTATAATCCTTTGAATGTTAGAACACTTTTATGATGCTTAAAGTATATGCTAATGAATCTATAATGCCACCTGGAGCAAAATCACAAGGCTTTTTGAACTATGGGTTATATATAAAGTACTCAAGTAACATGTTACTCGTTATCTGGTGATCGCTAAGACTTAAGTCACATATGTGAGAAATGACATAAAGTTGTGCTCTTTAATGGCAATCTGATGATTGGTAAACCTTCCATGGTTTTTGGGGGAAGCACTGGAGATTTGCCTGTTGCTCTGCTGTGGTCAGACTGGACACTGGCTTATGCTTCAGACTCTGGGTCCTACTTTAATGAAGTGTCCATTTTTCAAAGGTCAAGAAACTGAAAGTGTGGCTTTGTAGTTCTGTACTTTGTTTCTGTAGAGCCTCAATAGTAGCAACCCAACTTAGCCATTGTCCCACAGAAGCAGCCATACACAATGAGTAAATGAATGAACATGGCTGTGACCCAAACTTTTTATATACAAAAGAAGGTGGCAGATTTGGCCTGTGGGCCATAGTTTGCCAACCCCTGTTATGTGTGGTGCTTGAATCCCTTAAGGACTACATAGATTCAAGTTGTTTTCTCCTTTATTCTCTTACACCAAGATTATCCAAAATAGTGTTTCTGACACTTTTGTGTTTCTCTGTCTTTCTCTTCCATAGAGGAACTATCTGGAACTTATATTCTGTTCCAAGGATAGCTGAACCGGTATGGCTTACCATGATGTCCAGCACTTTGGAAAAAAACCAGCTCTGCCAGCGCTTTCTCAAGGAGTTTACACTTCTGATAGAACAGATCAATAAAAACCAGTAAGCTTTAACTCTCTGGAGACTTGTATGCAACTCCCATAGCCAATGGTACTGCATAGGACATGCATCTTTTTGCATTGACTAAGCTGGTTGTTTCTTTTTCCATTTCTCCAAGGTTTTTTGCTGCCTTACTGACTGCGGTGTTAACCTACCACCTGGCCTGGGTCCCAACAGTCATGCCTGTGGATCACCCTCCCATTAAAGCCTTCTCAGAGAAACGTACCTCCCAGTCAGTGAACATGCTGGCCAAAACACATCCATATAATCCTCTCTGGGCACAGCTGGGTTAGTACCTAATTTGACTATTCAGATAATATTATATATGGGATGTATTTGCAAAAAATGCTAGTATTTGTACTTTTACTGGCTCTCTCACCCAATAATTCATAGGTTGTCATTGGGCAGACGGGGAATAGGAAGTTGGTCCATGGATTCAAACTGTAGGGCCACCCCCTTTCTCTCCTTTCCCTACTGGCAGCTTTGTGCTACACTCTTAAAGCAGTGTAAGCCAACTGTGTTCTCCCATTCCACAGTGGCTGTTTACCTTAGAGCAGGATTTCTTAACCTCAGCATTGTTGACCAGATAATTCTTTGTTGGTTGAGTTGTTGTGGGGCATGGGAAGAGCTGTCTTGCGCATTAGCAGACGTTGAGTGGCATCCTTGGCCTCCATTTACTAGTTGCCAGTAGAACTACCCCTCCTACCGCCCGCCTGAAGTTGTAACAGAAAGCACCTCATCCTGGAAAGCAGCATGTTTTAATAATAATGAAAGCTGACACTAGGAGCCAAGCACTGTTTTTATACATTATTCATTAGATTCTCATCCCTACCTTTATTACTCTCAGCCTCATTTTGTAACAATACAGATGTTGTCTTGTCCTTGTGCTCGTAAGAGAATACAAGTCCCCTCATGGTTAGGGGTAAAAGATGTGTTCTAACTCAGTTAAGTAAAGAATTTATGGATATTTAAATGGACTTAAGGGAGAGGGGATATGGAAAGAGGCTAGTTAAAAAATACAAAATTACAACTGGATAGGAGGAATAAGTTCTAGTGTTCTTTAGCACTGTAGGATTACGAGAGTTAAGAACAGCGTATTTTCAGAGAAAGCTAGAACAGAGATTTCCAGTGTTCCCAACACAAAGAAATGATCAAAGTTTGGGGTGGGGGGCCAGGCGTGGTGGTTCACACCTGTGAGCACTTTGAGAGGCAGAGGCAGGTGGATCACAAGGTCAGGAGATTGAGACCATCCTGGCTAACACAGTGCAACCCAGTCTCTACTAAAAATACAAAAAAATTGGCCAGGCGTGGTGGTGGGGGCCTGTGGTTCCAGATGCTTGGGAGGCTGAGGGAGGAAAGTTGCTTAAGCCTCAGAGGCAGAGATTGCAGTGAGCCAAGATTGCGCCACTGCCCTCCCGCCTGGGCGACAGCGAGACTCCGTCTCAAAAAAAAAAAGTTTGGGGTGCTGGATATGCTAATTACCCCGATATGATCGTTACTCAGAACATGCCTGGCTCATTCTTGGTCATACAGGGAGTTTTTCCTGGGAAAAACAGAACACAGTTGTTTTGTTTTATGGAACAATAATAGTCTTTAAAAAAATGCAGGCTCATTAAGTGGAAAAGAAAAGGGGGCTGGATAGTAAGGAAACATTGTATTCCATGCTGCTGGTCACCCATTTCAAAACAATGCTAATTAAGTAGCGTGCATTTAGTTAGATAAATGTGTTTATAATTAGGCGAGCTTCTCATTTGAAATGTAACTAATTGAGAGCCATTAATTCCCTGTGTTCGGCATAACAAGGGAGAGTCTTTTCCTGTGGGTTCACAATCCTCATCTTTCAGAGGAGATCATGTGTTGTTGAAAGCCTTTAGTCCTCCCTTCTCCCAAACAAATCCATCAGGGGTTTGGCTATTGACAAGAGGAGTGTGAGGAGGGGGGCAGCAAAGGCCTGTGATAGCTTTATAAAGCCAAGTATAAGTGATGGCCGGGTTTCCATTATTACAAAGAAGTTTTAGCAGGGGAGGGAGGTTCAATAATTTGACAAGTAGAAGCAGTTGCTTCACATTTTATTGTTTTCATTCAGTATTTAGCAAGTCACAGTAAACATGAAAATTGAAACCGCTGGGAATACACAATGATGCAGATACAATTTTAATCCAGGTTCCTAAGTAAAAGAGAAGACTATCTGGAATCATTGCAGACTCCTCTGAGAGCTTTTCCAGGACAGGTGCCATTGTGTCTTTTGACTCTCTTTTAAATTTTTATTTTTAATTCAGGTAAAAAGCATATAACAATGTTTATTATCTTAACTGTTTCAAAGCGTACAGTTCAGTCGGGTTAAGTACATTTATATTGTGCAATTTCTTCATTTTAAAAACTTATGAAAACAAATCTACTCTAAAAATTAGCTTCAATTATCCAGGACTCAAAAAGAAATTGCTTTCAACTTCAAGTAAATATTTAATATTATAGGTATTGTTTTAATAATGCTTTTTTTTTATGAAGTTTGGCTATAATGTAATAGCACTGGTTCCACACACATTGCTCTCATTATTTTATATAATTTAAATTATTATAAGTTGTATTTTAATAACCTTCCTTGTTTTACCATTTCCATTTATTCCTTGGTTATTAAAATGTATGATACTCAAATGCATTGCTAAAAAATAATATCATTCTGAGTGGCCTTTTCCCTGTGGTTTGTTATACCAGATTTTGGATAAGTAATGTTTCTCCTTTATTAATATTGCAACTGATTTAACAAAAAATGTCTTATGAATTTCTGAAATGACTTGATATCCTGCAGCAATAGACAGATGTAATCAAAGTAACAGTAATGAGCTCTTAGGAAGGTTTTCTCAAACAAAAGTCCTAGCTTCAGACTACAATTCTGAGTTACTCTCTTGAATTCTAGTCTGATTTCTCAGTCACTTGGAAAGGCCTCTCAATTAAAGTTCTATCAGCCTATAATCTAGTCATTTTGTAGAGAGGATTGTTTATTATTTCTGCCCAGCCCTTTGAATGTTCTTAGGAGCCGTTCACAAGGGAATACTTGCTGAAGGAGGTATTTCCTAATGGGTCCCAGGGGGAGGTACTTTCCAATGGTTCTCATAACTTTTGTTTTCCATATTCATCTATTTTAATTAGTTTTATCTAGTATATGCCCTTATAACTGCTTTCCCTCCTCTCTAGATGCATTCCTCAGAGGGTTTTGAACTTTCTAAATTCTGATTTATACCAATTATCATGTATCAGTTCTTCTTTATTTAGTATCTTTTTAGGTTTTGATTTGTTCCAACATTCTGGTTATTCTTTTTTTTTTTTGAGATGGAGTCTTGCTCTGTCGCCCAGGCTGAAGTGCGGTAGTGTGATCTCAGCTCACTGCAACCTCCGCCTCCCAAGTTCAAGCTATTCTTCTGCCTCAGCCTCCTGAGTAGCTGGGATTACAGGTGTCCGCAACCAAGCCCAGCTAATTTTTTTGTATTTTTGGCAGAGATGGGGTTTCACCATGTTAGCCAGGCTGATCTCAAACTCCTGACCTCAGGTGATCTTCCCTCCTTGGCCTCCCAAAGTGCTGGGATTTTAGGCGTGAGCCACCACACCCGGCCAAGATACATCTTTAGTATCTTAACACAGTGCCTGTCCAGTTAGTAGACACAGGTTCTTTATGATAATTTTCCATATTATCAAACATGTAACTTATTATAAAATCTAATAAATTATCAAATGCAGTAGTTTTAATAGTTAGGCACTTAAGTACTTTTGATGAAAAGCTTATTGCTGGGTGGTTGGATGATACATTTGCCCTTATTCTTTCCTCCTCAAGCTGATTGTAGAGCCCATGGTACATTAGTCAGTTTTTAATCAACTTGTCAGGATATAACTAATGGGACATTTTTTTTTCCAGTTGAATTTTCTTTTCTTTTTCTTTTTTTTTCTTGCTCTGTCACCCAGGCTGGAGTGCAGTGGCACAATCTCGCTCAGCTTACTGCAATCTCTGGCTCTCGGGTTCAAGCAATTCTCCTGCCTCGGCCTCTGAAGTAGCTGAGACTACAAGTACACACCACCACGCCCAGCTAATTTTTGTATTTGGGAAGAGACAGGGTTTCGCCATGTTGGCCAGGCTGGTTTTGAACTCCTGACCTCAAGTGATCGCCTGCCTCAGCCTCCCAAAGTGTGGGATTACAGGTATTAGCCACAGCACCTGGCCCAGTTGAATTTTCAAGTGAAGTAAAATAAAACCTTCAGACTCATTATTCATGACTAAGTGATTTTCTTCTTGTTAAACTGATTCTACTTGGTGTGGGTATGCATATTAAAAGAATTTTACGTAGACCACCTCATTAAGTATTTTGAATTAATTCACTGCCCTTCTGCTGAGAAATTCCTGAATTTGGATTTTATCCCAAGGCCCAGTGTCCTGGGATTCTTCCAACAAATTCTTACTATCCTAGTTTCCAAGATATAGTATTAGATCTTGTCACATATTCAGAGCTCTGGCTTTAGCTTTCCTTGGGCCATCTCATTGGTGGACCCGTTGAGCTGCGGGGAAGACCCAGCAGGCACTGGGAGGGGCTGTGTGCACAGCAGCACGACTCCCACACACCAGAGGTGACCAGCCGCAGTCTGTGTCCAGGCTGACACTCTTACAGTGGCAAAACTAAAACATCGTCATTACTAGAAAGTAGAAATCAGGAGTCAGAAGCAGTGATTCCAGACTGGGAATAAGTCACCCGTTTTGCTCTTGTAAAGGCCGATGTATCTGTGACATGCTAACCTCAGAGACCACTGCCTTTGTGTCCACCTTTGCTGTCTAGGTGATCTTTACGGAGCCATAGGCTCTCCAGTGAGACTGACTCGCACCGTGGTGGTAGGGAAGCAGAAGGATTTGGTCCAGCGAATACTTTATGTCCTGACCTACTTTCTCCGTTGCTCTGAGCTACAAGAAAACCAGCTGACCTGGAGCGGCAATCACGGTGAAGGTGACCAAGTTTTAAACGGAAGCAAGATCATGACAGCCTTGGAGAAAGGAGAGGTGGAGGAGTCTGAGTATGTTGTCGTTACGGTGAGGAACGAGCCTGCTCTTGTACCTCCCATCCTACCACCAACAGCAGCTGAGAGACAGAACCCCTGGCCGGCAGAGTTTCCTGAGAGCCCAGAGGGCACTGACAGTAGAGACCTGGGTCTTAAACTTGACAAAGAAGCTCACAGGAGGCCGGAGCAGGGTCCTGAGGCTTGTAGCACAGGGTACCAGGAGCCAGCATCAGACGGTTCCTGGAAACCTCAGAATGGCTTTTGTGGGGATGAAAAAAATAAAGAGTCACCACAAGATGGCTCTTCAAGACTTTGCAGCTGTGAAGTTCTGGGGGCAGGAATGAAGCTGGACCAGCAGGCTGTCTGTGAGCTGTGTAAGGTGGAGATGCCTACGAGACTGCCAGACCGGTCAGTGGCCTGGCCTTGCCCTGACAGACATCTCCGGGAGAAACCTCCCTTAGAAAAGGTCACTTTCCAGATTGGGAGCTCCACATCTCCAGAGTCTGACTTGGAAAGCCGCATGAAAAAAATGGAGGAACGGATGAAGGCCTGTGGCCCCTCACTGGAAGCCAGCGTGGCCACTGATGTGGCTCAGGACCCGCAGATTTCTGGAAGCCCTTTCAACCCTGGCTCTCAGGAGAATGTCTGCTGCCCTCAGAATCAGCCTTTTGAGGGGGATGAAGGCGAGTCTGACAAAGGTTTTGCAGAGGACAGAGGCAGCAGAAACGAAGCGACAGCAGTTGCTGCCGGGAAGCTCAGCCACACTGCCGACTCGGACGCAGCCTCTGCTGGTGTGGCAGGAACCAGAGGGAGGAGGCTGGAGGCAGCTAGAGGTTTGTATGTGAAGGCTTCAGAAGGACCTGTGCTGGAGCCTGTTGCCCCCAAGTGTGTCCAACAGGGTCCTGGCCTGGCGGCTGCTGCAAATATCCCCTGTGGGGATGCCAACAAGAAAGCCATCTGTAGGACTGAAGGAGACATTCCCCGAAATGAAAGCTCGGATAGTGCCCTGGGAGACAGTGACGACGAAGCCTGCGCTTCAGCCATGTTGGACCTGGGTCACGGTGCTGACAGGACTGGAGGGTCCTTGGAAGTAGAGCTGCCTCTGCCAAGGTAAGTCCGGCAGGCTGGGAAGTAGAGGGCACTGAGTTCAAATTCCACTCTCCTGACCTGACACCTGTGATCACATTAGCCACTGTTGTCTGCTTCCCACACAGTTGTTTTTTTTTTTTCTTCTTTTTTCCACCAAACGTTAGCAGTACTATCAATTCTATTACAAACGACTTCCCGCCTGTCCTTCCAAGGATGGTTACTGGCTTAGCACCACTGAGCTCACAGGGTCAGGGGGCTGGTGGTTGTCTTCGAAGCTACTGTGACCCTCTGGGGGACGCTAAGGGATGTGGTGGAGGTGGGGGAGGGAACAGGGAGTTTAATTTTCTGTCAACTGCAGGGAAGGTCCATGGCTGGCAGCAGATGCCTTGCTTGGGAGGTGGTGGGTTACACTTGCTGTGTGGCCTCTCTCCTGCCGACTGGAGCAGCATGAGGTGGTTGGGAAATCGCACCTCTTCTTTAACACTCCATCAGGTTGATTATTTGGTCTGTGATGACTGAAAGCAGTAATTAGAGATTTCTTCTGATCTTCCACACTGTCATTGGCACCACTCTGTGCAGATATGTCAGATTCCTAAAGCCAGGCTTTTGGCAAGAGCCCTTCCTCAGACTTTTTCTTTCATCAGTATTTTGACATAGACTGCCTGGTGGATGTCCAATATGAGCTACAAAAACAAACTCATAACCAGCCATGGATATACTTTCCTTGCCACCACCCCCCCACCTTCCACTTTAAAATACCCCGTTTTCTCCCCCAGTCCCTTCCTTTTTCTCACACCTGTGATCCACTTAACTTGAGGCTTGGTGACATGGACCACCCTGAATCTATTTTGTTTACTTGTGTCACTGGTGTGCTTGTACCAATTATAATGAATGAAGAAAGTACATTTTCAGCTGTGCATTTTATTGGGCAAAATGTTGTTTTAGGTCTCAGAGCGTCAGCACTCAGAATGTAAGGAACTTTGGCCGCTCACTTCTGGCAGGCTACTGCCCCACATACATGCCTGATCTTGTGCTTCATGGGACCAGCAGTGACGAGAAGCTGAAGCAGTGCCTGGTGGCCGACCTCGTCCACACAGTCCACGTAAGTGATCCCAGCATGGACCCTCTGGCTGCTGACAGTTTGTCAGCCAAGGTCTTGGTCGACAACAGGTGTTTAGACTGAAGAGCGACTACTTAAGGATTGTTGATGGAGATGTGGGCAGGGTTATGGGAACCAGCTAGGGCTAGTGAAGCACCTGGGGCCTAGCAGCAACTGGAAGCTAGGAGCACACCTGGGCCTGGGAGAGTAAGGGGAGGGAGCGCGACATCAGAGCCCTGAAGCCTGAGCCAGGACGAGGGGCGAGAGGTGGCCTGACTGCAGGAGCAGCGAGGAGGGGGTGCCTTCCTGCCATCCCTCCTCCCATTCTCTGATCTCTCTCTGGTGCCTCTCATTGGCGAAGCCCAGCTGAAAGCCAGAGAGCTTGGGCACAGCTGATGCAGACACAGCCCTGTGGTGCTTAGAGGTCAGCCTCTTGGGGCCCAGAACAGGACAGAGAAGGGCAAAGAGTTGCTCTGGGGGTGTTTAGGGGAGCAGATAGGCTGGACAAATGGAGTGAACAGCACAGATGGTGATAATTATATGCCGTCACGGTGAGGACCGAAGAGGTGTCACATATGGTTTGTTTTTATTCAATCCTTAAGTTCCTAAAAGTAATTTATTTTAACTGATTTGTCATTAAGTTCACTTTGATGGCGCATGAGGATGACTGTATAAAGATTAACAAGTCTTACTGGAAAATTGTCTTGTGGCTGCCATTAAGTGCTTTGCTGCTATCTGTAGTGCGACAGGAACTAAGCAGTTAAGGAAACTGTCCATCTGATGGGCCTCTTTTTAATTGAGCTGTTTTGGGCAGATGTGCAAAAATAGACCTTTTGTACTGGAAACATTTTGTATCTTGTGCAATAGGGAAAGTCCTCATCACGTTAAGAAAATTGGAATTTGGCCTGTTACCTACCTCTGGGCCAACAAGTATTTTTTCTGAGGTGGAACGAAAGGCACTGCATGTTATCTTTGACCTTGAGCATCTCCTCTGTGAAGACTAAACATGAGACACAGGCTAAACAGGCTAAGGATATTTATGTGAATTGGGAAAAATGTCAGTAGTAAATCAGATGTCCTCATAACATCCCTCAATGAGGAGGGCGAAGAGATGAGGCTAGGACTGTCCGAAGCTGGGGAAAGCCAGCCCAGTGTATACCTGTGTGGTCAAATGTTCCTAACCCCACCCCTGCTTTGTGGTCACACACCACCCCTCACCAGGATATTCCTGGAATGAAGCTATGAAATTGCTTTTGTCTCTATAATATCATAATTATGTAATATAATTTTTCTTCATAGTTGTAAGCACCGTTTATCATTTCACAGGTTTACGCGTCAGTGAACCCTGTAAGAACAATGCCCTCATTGTGTAATGCTATCTTTCTAAGTTGTCCAAAACAATGTCTGATGCAATTTCACAGGGTGTATTTATGTGTGTTTAGTAACTTCCTATAACATTAAGGCACCTTTTCTGTCCGCACCTCATGTTTATATTCACACATGCCAAACCATGGGTTTTTTTTCTGCTCTGCTATCATTTTGATTCCTAAGGACACTGGCGTTGCTTATTGGACCTTTCTTCCATGAAGCCCTGTGATCTGTTTCTGACAGAGGTACCAAGAGACTACACGGGAGATAACAGGATTGTCCTCAGTGACATATGCCCTGGATTTACTCACTGACCACTCTGGAAATGCAATCTATTGATTGATAACCCTCCTTGAACTTATCTGTAAAACCATTCATGAAAGATTTTATGTTTTCCATAGGCTGGCAAGTTCTAATTTTTGTGTATTAGATTTTCGTGGTGACCATCTGGCTCTATAATTCTTATATTTGAGAAAACACAACCATGTTTACTCTGTCATTACTCTTCAAGCTTTTTAATATTTCATTTTCCCTTTTAGAAGGGGTGTCTTCACACTGTAGCTTTTCTCATTTCTTTAAACTATGGATTTACCCTGAGAGATTGAAAGTTATTAAGCATAATAACCTATATTGTGTCAAATTGTGGGTACATCCAAAGTGCAGCCATGCATGGGTGTTAATAGGAAATTGCAAAGGGTTCATGAAAATATCTTCAGAAATTTAATATGTTCAGAATATATCCAATTAGCATTAGTGGATTTAATTTTACGTGACATATTCATCATAATGAATTTTGCTCTTGAAGTAGTGTTCTGTTTAAACTGCCTCTCAGACTGGCGCTCTGGTCTATGGCAGTGTTTTTTAAAACACACACACACAAAACAGGCTTACTTTCGACATCCATTTACAAACATTTGTTGAAAATATTTTAGGAGCATTTTTTTTAAACATTATACTGATTTTACTGCTCCATAAAACCTAGCGAATATTTAAATTCTTGATTTTTGCCAGAGAAAGAAGCAGAGATCCAAAAACAAGTATATGACCAGAATCTAGAGCTGAAATAATAGCTTGTTGAAGAAGAAAATTGTAATAAATTGCTTTATTATAACTTGCTTCCAAAACCTATTTTTTGAGTTGGCCACAGTGGCTTATGCTTGTAATTCCAGTACTTTGAGAGGCCAAGGTGGGTAGATCACTTGCGCTCAGGAGTTCAAGACTAGCTTGGGCAACATAGCAAGACTTCATCTAAAAAATAAAAGCATTAAAAAATAAGAAAAAACAAACCTATTTTTTGAATACGAATTTCAGTGTTCATGTAGACTTCAGCAGGCTTTGGTACTTACAATTCTTTTTAGAGAAGGATTTTTAATTCTTTAAAAGCAGTTGATTCTGGTTATTGATCTATTTTCTAGACCTGTGCACAATTTGGATTTTATAATCTGTGTTTTGTAAATTAAATGTGCACCTTTTTTTTTCTTTTTAAAGAGATTGGGGTCTCCCTATATTGCCCAGGCTGGACTTAAACTGGGCCCAAGTGATCCTGCCTCATTCTCTGAATAGCCAGGATTATAGGCACAGGCCACTGTACCTTGCTCTAAATGTACATTTTTATAACTACCAGTTTGGAATTTTTCTCTCATTGAGAGATTGCTTTGTAGAGCTTCCAATATTAAGAATTTTTTGAACTTTTCTTATCCTAGCCTCTTATAAAAGAAAGATATAGTAACTTTATTTCATCTGTTTTCTTTTTTTTTGAGACGGAGTTTCGCTCGTTACCCAGGCTGGAGTGTAATGGTGCGATCTTGGCTCACTGCAGCCTCCACTTCCTGGGTTCAAGTGATTCTCCTGCCTCAGCCTCCTGAGTAGCTGGGATTACAGGCACGCGCCACCATGCCCAGCTAATTTTTTGTATTTTTAGTAGAGATGGGGTTTCACCATGTTGACCAGGATGGTCTCAATCTCTTGACCTCGTGATCCACCCACCTCGGCCTCCCAAAGTGCTGGGATTACAGGCGTGAGCCACCGCGCCTGGCCGGCCTGTTTTGATTTTTATTGCTGACTTTCACATGTCAAGATTCAGAAGTTCTTTAAATATTAAACACATATCCTTATTTAGTCCATATACTACCTCTTTTCTGTCATTTGAACTCTCTCTGCCTCCTAACATATAGGTTATACAGCTGCCTTAAATTAGTGTAAAGTAATATGGTTTCATTTTTTTCTTGCCACATCTTATGCATTCTTTCCTCTGTTTTCCTTTTGACTTTAAATGGAAAGAGAGCGGGGGTGCAAGCCAGCAGCATTCTATGCCTATGACTCTTGAGTAGCCTTTTCCCTCTCCTTTTTCCTCCTCTGTCTGGCCTGTGGCTACCACTGACAGGGATGCTGTTGCGGTTATTATGCTGCAACGCAAGGTGATGGAAGATCACTGACTTAGTGTTGATGGTTTGGGTTTGAGTCCTCATATTTCCACTCCTTTGCTGATAATCTCAGGTAAATCAACTGGCATTGCTAAGTGCCAGAAAAATGTATTTGGAGGAACAGATGAAATATGATTCAGTGGATAGGAAGTTAACTTCTGAAGACAGGCAAACCTAAATTTAAATTATGGTTCACCCCTTAGTGGCTCTGTGGCTTTGGTCAAGTGTCTTTAATTTTTTAATCCATGCTGTGAACAGTACTTATGTCATAGGTTTGGTTTGAAGATTCTGTGAGATAATGTATATCAAGTGGTTAGCACGTTGCTTGGCACACTGCTAAATGCCCAGTAAATGTTAGTTATTAAATATATGTGGGCCAGATGTGGTAGTTCACTCCTGTAATGCCAGAGCTTTGGGAGGCCAAGGTGGAAGGATCCTTTGAGATCAGGCTGGGCAGTATAGCAAAACTCTATCTCGAGATCCAAGATGGCCGAATAGGAACAGCTCTGGTATGCAGTTCCCAGTGAGAACGCAGAAAGTCAGTGACCACCACATTTCCAAATGATTTTTTACTGCCCAAAGACCAGGAGATTCCCAGGCAGAAAAGCACTAGGAGTTTCCAGCACAGCTGTTTCAGCCTGCACAGCAGGTCTCCACACAAAAACTCACACAAATCAGGGTGGCCATTTCAACTGGCACCTGGAATGCCTGGGAGATGGAATTGCCCGTTCAACTGTAAAAAAAAGGGGGCTGAAAGAGGGAGCCAGGTGATCTGGCTTGGCTGGTCCCACCCCAACAAAGACCAGCAATCTGAAACACTCTGGATTGAGAGTTTCACAGCAAGCACAGCTGGACCTGAGACGGTCCAGCTCTGTGAGGGGGAGCATATCTGCCATTACCGAGGCAGTCCACCATGACTAAGGCAGTCTGCCACTACCAAGGTAGTCCGCCATTACCGAGGAAATCCGCCACTACCGAGGCAGTTTGCCATTACAGAGACAGCCTGCATTATTGAGGCAGACCACCATTACTGAGGCAGTTCTAACTATACCTCTATAAAGAAAACTGCAAGGAAGTTAACACAGCAGCTGGGCAGAGCCCATGGCAGCTCAGCAATGCCTCTGCTGGCAGACTTGTGACTAGGCTACCTCCTCACTGGGCAGGGCATGTCTGAATAAAAGTCAGCAGCATGTCAGGAACTTATAAATAAAG